TGCCAGCAGTGCACGGCGCAGCTTAACCCACTGCATCACAATACTGGCCCCGGGATTTAACTTCTTTGATATGGGGCTTTCCACATCTCTTGCTTCTTCTTGAGACTGCCTTTCAAGATTTTAAAGCTTTCTGCCTTTCTACAGCATTAATGTTCTTCAGAGAACTAGAACAAAGAGGGTGTGTATACTAACTTATTTTAAGGAACTGGCTCATGCAATTATGGGGGTGGCAAATCTGAATTCTGGGCTGGCAGGCTGGAGGCCCAGGGAAAAGTTGATGTTGCAGCGAGAATCAGAAAGCAGCCTAGAGACAGTAGTCTTTTTCTCCTTAGGCCTTCAATGGATCGGTTGAGACCTGTCCACATGTTGGAGAATAACCTGCTCTACTCAGTGTCTGCTGAGGTAAATACTAATCTCACCTAAAAAGGTCTTTGCAGCAATTAGACTGACGTTTGACAAATATCTGGTATCTGTGGTTTAGCCAAATTGAGACATAACAGTAAGTGTCAAGAGACTAAAAGCATCTAATGCAGCACAGTTTCTTCCTAGCGCTGCCTAGCCTGCGTCCCGGAGTCCGTTAAGCTGTATTTTCATTATGATCCAGTTCAAAATATCTTCTCATTTCCTGTGTAATCTGCTCTTTGACCTGAATTTATTTAGAAGTGTGGTGTTTAATTTTCAAATATTTGGGGGGTTTTGCACATTGTTTTTGTTGCACAATTGCAATTATCTGAGCTTCACTGAGGATTACTTCATGGCCCAACATATCATCTATTTTGATCAAAGGAACCTATGTACTGCAGTGTTTGGGTGGAGCTGTCTAAAATGCCAATTAGGTTAAATTGTTGACAGGGTTGCTCAAATCTATCCTTACTACTTTTTTGTCTGTTCAATTATTTGTTCAATAACTATCAGAGGAATATTAAAATCTCCAATTATGATTGAGATTTTTTTCTTCTGTATTAATTCTGTTAGATTTTGTTTCAAGTAAGCTGAAGCCCTATTATTGATTACACACTTAAGATTGCTAAATCTTCTTAGAAATGTCCCTTTTATCATTATGAAATGCCCTCATAAGCTCTGCCAGTATTCCTTGTCCTGGTATCTAGTTTGCCTGGTATTAACATAACCATTTCAGCTTTTTGTGGTTAGTGCTTTGATGGCACTTCTTTCTCAATTTTTTTTAATTTTTAATTTATCTACCTTTTTAACATCTTTTTCATATAAATACATCCAGCTGAGTCTTGCTTTTTAATGCAGTCTGAAAATCTTTGCCTTTTAATTGGAGTGTTCAGTCCATTCTCATTTAATTCTTACATACAACACAGATATAATTACTGCTGTGGTTGTGTTTAAGCCTCCCTTCTTATTTTCTATTTGGTTTAATCTGTTCTTTGTTCCATTTTTCCTCTTTTCTCGCCTTCCTTTAGATTCAATTGAGTAACTCTGGTGTTGCAGTTTATGTTTTCTCTATTACACTATTTTGCAATAACATTTATTTTTTTTGTTGGCAGTTGCTCCATGGATTACTAAGTGCATCCTTCACAAATCATAAGATATTATCATTATACCCCCCTGCACAAGGTTATGACCCTTATAACTATATACTTCCATTTTTCCACACCCGTCCTGTTGTCGTATACTTAAGTTCTCCATATGATAAAACCCCCCCATATTATCTTTTGAAAAAATGTGGAATGAACACCCTTTGTATTCACTCACAGATTTATCACTCCCAGCACTCTTGATTTATCTTTGATATGACAGTCACCATGCTGAGTTAGCCTCTGCTTGTAGTTGGCAGGCATCCTCTTATCATCTTGAAGATTCCACTGCATTGCACTCTGCATCCAGACCCTGATGCAATGTCGGTGATCATTCTTTTCTCCTTTGTTCTCTGGTTGATTTTAAGAATTTTTTTTTCACCTTGTTTTTTAGTAATTTAACGATAATGTGCTTAAGTGTAGTTTTCTTTGTGTTTACCTCGCTCAGGCTTCATTGTGCTTTGAGCATGTGTGGGTTGGTATTTTTCATCAAATTTGGAAAAGTCTCAACTATTATTTCTGTTATATTTCATCAGATCACTTGATATTGCCCACTGGGTTACTAATGCGCTGATCATTTTTTAATGACTTTTTTCTCTGATGCTTCCATTTGTGCTATTTCTGTTGACCTTGCTTCAAAGACACCAACCTCTACAGTATCCAACCTGCTGTTAAACCCCTCCAATAAACTTTTTTCTCACGACATCACAGTTTTCTGATCTAGCATCCAGTTGACTTAATATTTTACAGCCTCTATTTATTTTTAAGATTCCTCATTTGTTTACTCATTATGTTGTAAAGTCCTTGCAGATGAATTTCAACATCAGTCATCTTTGGACCTATGTCAACTGACCTGTTTTTCCTTGGGCATGTGTCATTTTCCTGCTTCTTGCCTATTTAGTACACTAGATCATGAATGCCATGTTGTTAGGGAGTATAGATTTTGTTGTCTTTAATTAAAGATTGTTGAGTTTTGTTCTAGTAGGAAGTTTATCTACTGGAGAATCAATTTTATACTTCTAAGGTTTGTTTGAAGGCCTTGTTATGGCAATTCCAGACCAGCGCTCATTCTGGGCTTGTGTAGTTCTGCTCCTATGTTATAGCCCTGGTTGGGTCAACTGAATGCCTGGCATGTTCAGAACGGTCTCTCCACACTGGCTGGTTGAAACTCCATTATCACTCAGCACTTGGAACTTTCTGGAATCTCCATTTACCTCAGAGCCTCCAAACAGTTATTCTAGACCAGGGCTTGTAGAGTCTTTGCCCTGAATAAATTCAGCTTGCTATATGGCAGACTTCAGGAAACTTCTTTGTAGACTGCTGAAACCTCTCCTTTGGACAACACCCTCCTCTCCGATACCCAACCCATAAAGTGCAGCAGTTGGTAGCCTGGAACATCAATTTCTGTTTTCTCCATTCAACACTGCTGTGCTCTGGGCCCCACTGCCTGTTACGGCTGCTTGGAAAGCATCTCCCGGTAAACAAATGGGATGAACCGCAGCTCATTTTTTTCTGGTGTCTCTTAAGATTCCTAGTCCTGTACTATGTTCAATGCTAAAAAAAAAAAAAAAATAAATAAAAAAAATAAAAAGTTGCTTTTATTCTTTTTCCAGTTTTCTAGTTCTTTACGGCAGAAGCCTAAGTTTGATTATAATCAGGATTCCAACCAGAACCAAAGCTTTGGTTCTTTACTCACATAGTTACTTTGTTAGTTCAGAAGGTTTGGGAGATCCTTTTTGATCTGAATGCTGTCAAGCTCCCTGGCTTTATCACAAGATCTGTGCTACCTGCATGCCTACCCCTTCCGGCTTATGTGGACACTCAAACAGGGGCACGCGTTCTGTATTCCAAACCATGAACCATTTCTAATTCTGTAGAGCAGCCAGTGCTTTCCCTCTCTCTGGGCTTCCTTCATGCTGTCTTCTCTACATGTCACACTTGTCTAACCACTATCAGCTCTTGGCTCCTACTTATCTTCTTAAATCAACATAAATATCACTTCTTCTGCTATTTCTGTCATGTCTTCCCATAACAGCCTGACCTTTCTCCCAATTAAAGGCATTACAGAATTTCCCGATACTTTCTTATTTAATACAAGTTGTATTTGCTTACTTGATTCTATGTTCTATGAGGGCAGTATGGGGATTGTCCTGCTTGATTATCATAAACATTAGTCACCTGCCTTTGTGCCACTTATGGAAATACCAATTAAGGATTTAGGCTAATAAAAATACTGGCTAAACCTGCTCTTAGGATACCCTGAGGGAATCTACTTAAAATTCTACTCTAATTAGTAACCGATCTGCATAGACCTTGCTTATATTGCTGTGGGTGTCCTGAATCGCCCTCTAATGATACAGCCTTAATGGCTGATTTTCTCATTTCAGTCATCTGCCTCCCGGTCTGTACCATTCCACATTACCTTCTCCAACTAAACTATGTGTATTTTTGGTGCTAGGTGATTACTAAAGCCATCACAAATCTCCAACGTGCTATGTTACATTCTCAAAAGACATATACTCCAAAGAAATAGAATCCATTTTAACTCCTAAACCCTTTACAGGTTTGTTTTGGTAACCAGGACAACTATGTGCAGTGGAATTATGTTCTCATAAGGTGCCTATGAACTTGAGAGGGAAGCCACAGGTACAGTGCTTCTGACCACTGCAGGCTGGGAACAGAGTTCAAACTAAAGACGTAGGGACCTCCTTAATTTAGTGGCTAGGGCCATAAAATGTAGGATATAAGATGCTGGAGCACATAACGTAATGGCACAAGTAACCACCTGATGGTGACCACAAAGTTGTAATGTTTCTGTTTCAAATGATAAACTCACATATCTCTCAAGAGTAATTCAATCTGAAAGGGAATGCAAAACATACATGAGACTATCTACCAAAGGTAATGTACCATTTCTATCCATGAAAGTTCTCAAAAGATATTTCCAAGCAAAGTAAAGAAAACTGCTTTCCTTGAGAAGAGAAACACTGTGACTTAAGAACAAGTGAAAAGAAACGACTGATGGTGTTTTAAAAATATCTGACAGAAGGTTAAAACAAATGACCATTTTAAGGTTCTTCTAATTCTTGAGATTTTAGAAGCTGGTAATTTACATTTTCTTCATTGTAAGAAGCCTTGAAAATTGACCTTTTCATAGGTCCAGGTTTGAGAAGTTTTGGTAAAGAGTTGGGGCAGGATGAAAAACCCAAAGGCCCACCCAGAAGAGACAACTAAATACACAAGACTAGCACAGGAAGAGAACCACAGCTAAAGACACAGTTTTTCCAAACTATAGACATTACACAGTACAAGTTGCTGGCACACCTGTGTGGACATATTTTTTTCCTTTCACGTCCCTGGTTAATGGGTAAGTCATAGCTTCAGAAAGAAAAATCATAACCATAATCATATTAAGAGTCTCAAAGACAAAATAAGAATTGTAAAGCCGCTTCTTACCATTGATGTCACCACCAAGGCCGGGGAGAATCCCATTGTGAGATAGAAAAAGAGCTCAACCACCTTATACCTGCAACAACAGAAATGTGGCTAACTGTATTACCATGTACATACCAGCCTTTCCTTTTTTTCTTTAAAAAAAAAAACTATAGAATATTTACTAGTCAAATAAAATACACTTCTTAGGATGAGATCATTAGGCCTCTTTGCAACACAGCATAGTTGAGTGATAATGAATGAACATTTCTTTCAGAATTGAAAAGGCATCGAACTCCATATGCTACCTAGAAAATGTTTTCTGCCAATAGTAGTTTTCCGGAATCCAACCCACCTTGCATTTTCCTAGAGGGTCTGCTTTCATTACCATTCCAACTCAGAGCTCTAAGACGGTGACATTGTGAAGAAACATGGGGGTGCATGCAGCTTGGGGCCAACTTTATCAGTGAAAAGGAACAGCAGCCCTGGGGAGAGGCATGCATTTCTGTTTGACTCTCTGTTCTGAACGTGTACAAATTCCGACCTGTTAGGCGGCTCACGTCACACTACAGCAGGATGTCTGAAAACTATTGAGAAACACATTGAAGTAAAATTCAACTTGTATTTCTTCCCCCAAAGGCAAGGACCACCACATTTTATTTAAGTTTGGATCCGCAAGGTCTGGAGTTGTACCTGCCATAATTTGTGTACTTCCCGAAGTACTTACTTCTACTAAATTAAACGGCTAAGCGTGACTCACATCTTATTCTTCATGTTTTATAATCAAAGCCTACCGTAAAGTAATCCTGTCAGAGAAAGAACCGGTTTATGGTTTTGGTTGCCATCAGCGGCTTGCAATAAGAAAGAACAGTTCTCTTACTTTACTTCCTATTATTTCCAGGATATAAATTAGGGCTTTGAGCCCAAGAAGCAAACTTGTCCCTTAGAATTGTATGTACTGCATAACACCACAATTACTAAAGTATAACATTACCACTTATGGTCAAAAAGGTCTTGTAAGTGAATTTTAAAACAGACAGAATTTAGTCGAAACTGCCATTTTTCTTCTGAAAAAGAAAAACCATTTTAATACTTTCTGATAAACACAAACTATGGTCGAGTCTCAGAGCTATTCCACCAAGCACAATAAAGAACGTAATGAGCTGTAGATTAATACATCCAATGACAACAGTTTCATGGTTTTGAGTCTCTCAAATTCAAGCCTAATTCAAGGTAGTAAAAAGAGCTGTAGAACAGAAAGTGGGACACTTGGGTCCTAATTTCCAGATGAAGCACTATTTGGTGTAAATAGTCTCATCCTTTAAGAATGAAGCCAGAGGCCGGCGCTGCGGCTCACTAGGCTAATCCTCCACCTAGCGGCGCTGGCACACTGGGTTCTAGTCCCGGTCGGGGCGCCGGATTCTGTCCCGGTTGCCCCTCTTCCAGGCCAGCTCTCTGCTGTGGCCCGGGAGTGCAGTGGAGGATGGCCCAGGTGCTTGGGCCCTGCACCCCATGGGAGACCAGGAAAAGCACCTGGCTCCTGGCTCCTGCCATCGGATCAGCGCGGTGCGCCGGCAGCAGCGCGCCTGCCGCGGCGGCCATTGGAGGGTGAACCAACGGCAAAGGAAGACCTTTCTCTCTGTCTCTCTCTCTCACTGTCCACTCTGCCTGTCAGATACAAGCATACGCAACCCAAAAAAGAGTGAATGAAGCCAGAAAAGATGAACCTGAAGATCTCCTGCAGAACCAAGATGCTGAATTTGAATAAGCTTTTATTTTAACACTGCCTAACACTTGTAACTATAAGCTATGAATAATGGTTTAAAAAACCCTACCCCAGGGCTAAGGAATAGGAATTCAGGCATTTTCACAAATATCCCTTTTTACAGAAAACCCTCTTTGGAACATCTCCTACTCCTAGTGGAACAAAAGTTGTGCTGGGCACTTAAAATCAATTATCTTCAAATTTCCACAGAAACCTTGAAAAATGGTTATTTTTCTCATGTGATTACTGTTTATATTCATAGAGGATAAAGCTAAATTGCCTCAGGATGAGAAATGAGGTCCCGTTGGCTCGAAAATGACTGTAGCATTATCCCTTAACTATATCACACCACACATGTGCCGTTTCTATCTTTCTGTAGCAATCTGTCCATTAATAATGAATACCAAATGGTTCTGAAGATCTATTAAAAATAATATATATTCTATTTAGGTACTTCTATTTTGAAGAAGAGAAATAAAATTATATTGCAACGCAAGGTAAAATTGAGGCAGTTAGTTTAAAAAGGAACAAATATAAATTTTTTTCTTACTTTTCATGGTAGAGAAACACATAAATTGTTCCTCCAGCTGCCATGAGCCAGATAAACCAACGCATATGAGATGCCAGGGGTCCAAGTTCACGGAGATTTAACCTAAAAATATAAACATGACAACCAAGAACAGAAGTGAAATATGAAAGGAATTTTCAGAACCTGTGTTTTCCTGTCAGAAGCAGGAAGAAAAGGCACTCCACACACCAAGGAGACCGCTCAGCAATGTGGGTGAAATTAATAACTCAAAAGATAAAACTGCCAGTCAACCTTTCAGATTTAGAATTAATTCAAAACTAGTTTAAAAATGGAGACAACTGAAAGCAGACATATAGAACAGAGTCCCAGCACACCCATGATGCCCAACTTTCCCCGTTAGGCAGACAAAGCTAAAGGCTGTTGGCCTTCTCAATTCTGACCGTGTGTTTGGGAAGAGATAGCTTACAAAGCTCACAGAGAGCACGGAACTACATCCTAACCTGAGATCATGTATCCACAGCAGGTATCTAATAAACAGACTACGTGTCTCCATTTTCAATCTCTCTGCCAAGACAGACATGAGAAGAACCATCCCACCGTATATTACACAAGACATTCTGTTAGAATGTAGGGAGGCATGAAGAGAGGATGGTTAATGGGTACAACGGTGCAGCTGGATGGAGAGGAGGAATAACTTCTCATGTCTAAAGCACAGTAGGGAAACGATGGCTGACAACAATTAATTGTGTTTCAAAAGAGCTAGTATGGAGTCCTAACAAAGAAATGATAAATATCTGCGGTTTTGGATCTACCAATGACCCTGATCTGATCATTACGCATTCGATGTATTGACATGTCACACCCCATAAATATGTAAAATTACATGTCAATCAAAAACAAAATACAGGTGTCAAGACTTTTTAAATGGATTGTCATGTCTGAACTTTAAAATGCTGCCAATTTATTCACTCTAATTTCATATTAACAATAAACATAAGAAAAAACGTTTTGACTGTAGCTACAAATCAGTACTATCAAATGTAAAAGGCACTAACTGCATATCTAAGACAACATGTGAACAAACTACCTACTTTGATATTTGATTCCTCAGCTCACATTAAAAATGTTTTTCATTTATTCACTTCTTTTAAATTGAGGTGTATTTTGCAAAAGTCTAAGAATTCTTACTCCAATATGAAGCAGACCTATAATTTAGTAAGAGGTGTTGGGGAGAGAGAACACTTTTTACTGCAGTGGATAATTGTTTCTTTTGAGTGACTGAAGCTACATTAGGCAGAACCTAGAGGCCTACTCTTTCTACTGACTGCAATCGTTGAGGACATAGCATAAGTTTCTGCACGTTTAAAACTGGACCATGTCTTAATAGAGGAAAACTAGTCTCTTTAGCTACAGGTTTCCAAGCAACAAAAGATTTCACCTGTACCAAAAGGGCAGTAAGATCAAGAAAAGTGTGCAGGACACTAAGTATTTTAAACAGTTGACAAATTTGACTTGTTCTCTTACTCAGATCAACAAAAGAAGTGGGAAATGTGCATTCACTCATGTAGAGGGTACTTTATTATGAACTGAAGACCAACAGTATAAACTTCAAAGGCAAGCCTGCTTTTCTCACACATGTTTACAGCACTTCCACAGGAACAATCCAAAGTATTGTGCACAGCAGTTGCAGGTGTATGGAGGACAAAGGTTACACACTTCAGACATGAGCACTCCATCTAACCAAAGGTTCATAGCACTTGCTGTTGAACAATCCAAGCTATGTGGCATAGCAGCAATGTTCTCCCCTTTAACTCTACAGTCTGACCCAAGTAAATCAAACTGGGAAAAAAGAAATTCATGTATGTATGTGTCGAGGGGAAGTGGTGAGGCACATGCATGAGAGCTGGGGGCTGGCACGGTAGGAAGAGAGGAAAGGAAGAATGAGAAGTTCTAATCATAAAAAGCTCTTTTGAAAAATAGAAAGACTGCATCTTACCATGGAGCATAAGAAGCAGCAATGAAGAAATAGATAACCATTCTATCGCACATGTGGAAACAGTGCTCCACTGTCCTAGTGGGAGCAAACAACAAGTTAGACAAATACTTCAGGACATTTTCAGACTGGATACCACTCCACCACCGTGCAATCCCTATCTTGTTCCAGTTCTCCTCAGGGCATTTAGAATTTGGCCTTCAAACTCACACAGCTCTTTTTAAAAATAATATCAATCTAAAAATAAGGCATTTGTATTATCTTTAACCTTGCAGCCACCAGAGATATTCTCACCATGTACGACACGCAGGGACAGAGCCCCTCAACAGACGTAAAGTGCTTAAACAAACAAAATCTGCATTTTCTGACGTTTTCCATTTCTTTTAGATCCCGTCTGACAACAACAGAATTCCTTAGGACAGGCCATCCCCCAGTTCCTATCATACTCTTCATGTCTTTACAGAATGTCTTTAAAGAAGGCTCCGCTTCACACATATTAGTGCTGACAGTGAGTTGTAAAAGGAAATTCAGTAACTGACATAGGAACAGCAATAACAAAAACAAAGCAAGGTGCACCTGCTCAAGAGGGCTGCCATCCCGATGGCTAAGGAAGTTGCTCCTTCTAAGATGGAAAAGTCAGGGTGTGTATGTACAAAGACCTGGCTCACTGAGGTCTACCTGGCTCACTGATGTCTATCCAGAAGATGGAATACATAGATTGTGCCCTTTCCTGAGGGGATTTAAAAGTGCAAACTGGGGCAGGTTGTTTGGCACACTGTGTAAGGTGCTGGTTGGGATGTCTGCATCCCATAGTGAGTGTCTGGGTTAGAGTCCCAGCTCCACTGCTGATTCCAGCTTCTTGCTAATGCGCACCCTGGGAGGCAGCAGTGATGGCTCAAGCAGTTGGATTCCTGTCACCCAGAACAAGGACCAGGATTGAGTTCCTGCTCCCAGCCTTCTGCCTGGCCTAGCCTCAGTTGTTGTGGGAATTTGGGGAATGAACCAACAAATGAAGATCTCTTGCCTTTCAAAAAAAATTTTTTAAGTACAAATATTATGTAGAAAGGTGACTATAAATAATTACATACTGAAAATTTATGGGAAAAAAAGCTCGAACAAAGTTTTTCAACGGGAAGAAATGATGAATGTTTGAGGAGATAAGTGTGTTTGTCCTGATGTGGAAATGACAAACTGTATACACGAATCAAACTATCACCTGGTACCCCATAAATATGTTCAATTTTTATTTATCAGTTAAAAGTAACGATAAGGTTGAAAAAAGTACAAATGCACAGAATTGCCTTGACTCTTACATTCAGCGTTCAAAGAGTGAGAGTACTAGTCCAGGAGAGCACTGGTCATAGTGCTTGTGAGACCCACAGTGTTGACCAAAGGAGACAGGTGAGGACTCGCATTAGTAAGTAAGTGAAAAACACATTTGAGAGAAAGAATGGTTTTAGTCTGCTAGTGAGAAGCTATGTCTCACCCCCAACAAACACCAGATTAATGCTTTTCAAACATGATTGCGTTCAGAATCACCTGAGGAACTTATAAAATAGTGTCCATAATCTCCAGAAGCTGTAGAGGGAAGGGGAGAATCTTTTTTTTAGCCTCTTGGGTGACACTGATTCCTACCACGGTTTGGGACTTTCTGATTCTGCTTTCTAGACTAGAACATGATGGTGAGCAGGAAGGAAGAACTAGAACTTATTCAAGATCTGTCACCCACCTCTCTGACTTTCTTCACAGGCAAACAGAAATAACATCTCTCTCACAGGTTATGTGTGATCGTTAGATGTGCTAATGCAGGTCATGCATTTAGAACAGTAACTAGCACATAGTAACACCTAACACATACTCAATAGATGCAAATTACCTTCTGTCTTTTACTTAAATTAAGGCTGTACCTGAATATTTTAAAAGTTTAATATAGAGTAAAAACCTACGTATGGCTTATGATTATAGCAATGCCGTTTGAAGATTCATGAGCCTGATTTCAACTAAGCCTTTTCCTCCAGACCCTGGCAGGGAGGCCATGAACACTGCAGCAGGCATCTACAACTCTTTATCGATTCAGAAATCTAGTTATCAAAGCCAAGTCTGCTGAGGCAACCCCAGCCCTGGCCTGTGCCAAGAAGATAATGAAGTGCTCTGCCTCCAGACTGGCCTCTGGGCTCTGCAGCAGTGTCCCCAGGAGCCACAGGGACTTCAGTGGCTCTCTTGTGAGTGTGTCCCAGAGCGCCCTTGTGATTCAATGCTGTGGTTTTATTTTGAGCCCAGAGAACTGTCACCTTATAGGAAAGAGAATGCAAACTGTATGCAATACTGGAAAGAATACAGTGAAAACCACACAGGGCTGGGAGTCGGGGCTTATAGGATGGTCCCCTTCTGCTGTTCTCACTCAGCCAAACCAGGATACTTCCCTGCAGCTAAGTTTCCCCAAGAGAAAAGGAGTTTAGATAGATGTTCCCTAAGGATCTGGCGGCTCTGAAATTCTGTGAATCTACATGTGAGGAAACCAGGAAATCACCTCTTCTATCCCAATCCTGCTCCTAAATGAAGATGTCTTTTTAATATTAGATTGTTTAAATAGTTTAGAGGGTTTCTTTATATTCTATAAAACCAAAAGTTATATTCAATTATTAATTTAAATCATTCTTAGTCTCTTCTGAATTATCTTTTAAAAATAAATTTTGCCCTTTTGGGTTTAATCTATTACTGCAGAATCAATTTTACAAGCAACTCATTTCCATCTACATGGTGTGCTTCTACCTTTGCAGTCTCCCAAATTAACCCCTCACTTGGAGAAGGAATGCCTTCATGTCCTTGATGGCAGGTCAAGGGCCACAGTACATTTGGAAAGTGCTTGACAGGAAATAATAGCAAATTACGTCCACTTCCTTTGCATAACATAATTCTGAAGGTGAAACTTCAGAAAACCATAGAACTGAAGTAAAACATACCCCTTTATGACATAAAGTCCAAGTTTTTTATAATTTTTTTTTTTTTGACAGGCAGAGTGGACAGTGAGAGAGAGAGACAGAGAGAAAGGTCTTCCTTTGCTGTTGGTTCACCCTCCAATGGCCGCCACGGCCGGCGCGCTGCAGCCGGCGCACCGCGCTGATCCGATGGCAGGAGCCAGGTACTTATCCTGGTCTCCCATGGGGTGCAGGGCCCAAGCACTTGGGCCATCCTCCACTGCATTCCCTGGCCACAGCAGAGAGCTGGCCTGGAAGAGGGGCAACCGGGACAGAATCCGGCGCCCCGACCGGGACTAGAACCCAGTATGCCGGCGCTGCAAGGCGGAGGATTAGCCTAGTGAGCAGCGGCACCGGCCTCAAGTCTTTTATAATCTTCTTTTTTAATCTATTTGTGTGTGTGTGTGTGAGAGAGTGAGAAAGAGAAAGCAGTTCATTCCCCCAAATGCCTCCAACTGCTAAGCCTGGCAGGGCCAAAACTGGGAGTCAGGAATGCAATCCAGGTTTCTTATGAGGGACACAGAAACCCAGTTATCTGAGCCATCACCACTGCCTCCTAGGTCGTGCATTAGCAGGAAGCTGGAGTGAAGAGCTGGACCAGGGAACTGAATGAAGGTACTCTAATGTGGAAGGCAGGTGTCTTATCTGCTAGGCTAGATGCTCACCCTTCTTATGTAATTTTCAAATCATTTTCACATACATTATCTCATTCACCTATCACAATAACCCTGTGAGTCAGGCATTATTATTCTCACTTTAGAATGAAGAAACCGAGACTGCATGAGGTCAAGTGACTTACCCAAGACTAACAGCAGGACTAGAACTCAAAGCCTAACTGCCAACTCCAGGTTCAGTGACAGCTGCTGCTGCTTTAATATCCTTGGTGTACTTAATATCATTAGAAAACAGCTCTCAGCATGTTAAGCTGTAACTCCTGGGGGCCAGTAAGAAAGGCCTGCTTTCTTAGATCATACAGAGCCAGGTGGTCTCACAGTCTGTCCCCTCCAAAGCAAATGTCCTAAATTTCGGATAGCATTACAACGACAAGGCAGAAAAGTGTCTACTCTATGTGCTGGCTGACTAGAGCATGCCAGTTCGGGAGGCGAACACACACGTCGGGTCAACTGTTCTGACCTGTTGAAATAGCATGCCAAGCACTGTACCTCAAGTGGCTCTTTTTCCATGAGACAATGTGAAATACTGTGGAAACAATGAAGAGGGCACAGAGGCCCATGCCATAAATCCATGCTGTTATCTTTTCCCAGCAGTCGTCAGACAGTCGATGGAGGAGGGCACTGCCCACGATGGCCGGAACAATGAGGAACTGAAGGAAAGGTAGAGAAAAGTAAATAGCCTGGCTTTTAAGGAATTCTGACCTTTGCTAGAGGTCCGGAGGCTTACCAGGGGCAATTTTTAAAAAATAATTTAAAAAAAAAATGTTGTCTCTCTTGGATAATAATGATGACAGCCAAAAGGAGTTGTTAATTGCTGCACTGAAAGCAGATACTACTGTTTAGGGCCCAGGAACTGTGCCAACCAATGGGGACACAAAGAGCCGGTCAAGGATGCAACATTACTCAACTGTTGCAAAACAGATGTTCTTTATCCTAATTTATTCTAGTCTCTAATCTGATTTAGAGAAGGTACTAAAACTATTCAAATGCTAATCATATTTCCCAGGAGGTCCTGAATGCCCCATGAGCTACCAAAATCCCAATTATTTCAGCAAAGGTAACTGAATGAACCAAGTCAGTAAGTATTATAATGTATACAATGCCACACACACAAAAAATAACTGTACAAGTCATATGTCCTGGATTTGTTCAGTTTGTCAGTTTGGAAGCTATTGCAGAATGAAAAGGTTTTGGCTTATTTCGTTTGTAGTAGCACCTTTTAAGTAAGCAACAGTAATCCACTAAGACCCTCCTATTCAAAAAATATTAAGAGATCTGAATCGTAGAGAATTTTGCTCTTTGCACCGTATTTCACAGTCCATATTGACAAAAAATTTAAATGTCTAGTCATAAAAGTATAACGATGACTAGTAAGCATTTTATAAAAAGAAATTCCCAAGAGAACTAAACTACGACAATAGATAACCACAATAAGCATACTTGGCAATGAATGCAAACTTTAGCAATTTTCTTATCTTTCTTTTTGCTTCTAACCCCAAGTTTTGCCCTCTTGCAACAGAATATTAAATTTCTGGATGACATTGGCATAAATATTCAGATGGCGAAGTTTTCATTGGCTCGGAGCAAAACAATAATTACAGCAATAAAGTAAGATTTCATAAAACAAAATGCATTTAACTTAAGAAATATCCTTTATTTTGCAACCATGCCTTTTTCTACTTTTTTCATGTTCAAGTATCCTCTCTTTGATGAAATGATGACAACAGAAGTATTTTGTTGGTTTTAGAAATTTTACTAGTCTCTGAAATTCAAAAATCTGGGATATGGCTTAATAAAATTACATTTGCTGCTCTGAAAAAATAATATGGAGGTTTTGACAGCTGCCTTTCCTTCAGCAATGTGGAACAGTTCTGCACTGAGAGGCGATGGGGACAGCAGGACGGGGCTCCTCACTACAGGGGCTCCCTTCTTCAACAAACTGTGAACTCTCCTGGCTAAAAGAATCCAGCTGACTATCTTGAAAAAGTGATTCATTTCATTCATCCACTTCCTTCATTCCAGGAATGACAGTCTTCATAAACAGCTTCCTTTGGTTGTCCTATAATGGGTACTTCTTGGAGAAAGCAAGGCCAGAAAAGATCTAACTGAAGGCCAGAGCACACTCACACTGTTTCTGGTGACACAACCCAGCACTGATGTGGGCAGATAAGGTCACCAGATGGGAAAATTCAACCAATTATGTTGAGATAATTACCCCTTCCTTCCACTAACACCCTTTGGGAAGGGTGGGCCTGGCATAAAATAAAATTCATACTCACTGCATGTGTGTAACAGTTAGCAGCGTGTTCATAGCAAGTTGGTTTGTAGCGGCCATTGGCGGGGGCTCGATGGTTCATGAACCTGTAGAAAGAAGACATCAGGCAATCAGAGCATGTAAAGAACAATGGGGAAGTCTGCCAACAGTTGTTTGATCTACTCTAAATAAAGCAGTCAGTGGTGGAAATACCTAGTTACAGGAATAAAGTATAATCCACTAAAATCAACAGCACTGATTCTACAGCAAATGACTTAGTACATTAGATTAGGCATCTTTCAGTGTACTCAACAGGGAAACCTTATACCAACCACAAGTAAACAGAAACCATATCCATTCCTTCATTTATCACTCCCTGTAATAAAATACAAAAACAAAAAATGGCACAACTAAATCTTAAAAACAGGGCATTTTCCTAAATGAAAAGGTACATGCTACATTTCAAATGTTTCTATTTTCTCTTTCAAAATGTATAAAGCTTTATATATATGCAGATCTGTACACCCTACAGACCATGATTATAAGGCATGTCCAACTAGTTTCCCTATACTGTATTACTTGTCCCAGCACCACACACAGCTTAAATGATACCTGGCTACCTTTAGGCCACCTAAAAGAGAAGGTACATTTCTTTTTTTTTTTTTTTGGGGGGGGGGTGTTAAGATTTATTTATTTATTTGAAAGAGTTACACAGAGAGGAGAGGCAGAGAGAGAGAGAGACGTCTTCCATCCGCTGGTTCACTCCCCAGTCGGCCGCAACGGCCAGAGCTGTGCTGATCCAAAGCCAGGAGCCAGGAGCTTCCTCCAGGTCTCCCATGTGGGCGCAGGGGCCCAAGGACTTGGGCCATCTTCCACTGCTTTCACAGGTCATAGCAGAGAGCTGGATCAGAAGTGAAGTAGCCGGGACACGAACCGGCAGCCATATGGGATGCCGGCACTGCAGGCGGAGGCTTTACCAGCTACGCCACAGCGACGGCCCCAAGAGAAGGTACATTTCCACCTTCATTCTCCCTTAATTAAAACACTTTGGTTCAAAAACCAAACACATGACCTGTACCTACTACTTTTGGGCATTAAATTCAAATACACAGAAAACCTGTTACACATATAGACACATGCCCATATTCCATATTTCCATTGGGACAACTTTGTGACAATCAGCAACAGAGCAAAAAGCATACCACAGGACCTAAAGAAACCATGGCTGTCTTCTATCACAGTGGTCAAACGAGGACAGCCCCTCAAACGCAATCTGCTTCTACATCAGGGTTCACGAGGGACTCGGGGTTTATCTGACTGTTCTCAAACGGAGAAAAAGCAGCTGTTGGAATAAAGGAGCAGAGAGGCAGATGCAGAGGAACGGAGTGAAAAGTGCCCCGACAGCAGTCAGGTCTCGGAAGGCGGGCTGCGTTCCTGGGCTTGCAGTCTGCACGCCTGGAACAACAAATGATCCTTCTGCTGGAGCTGGTTGTGGCGGAAGGACATTAATGAGCTTTGACTAGTCACACATTGTTCATTCACATGATGAGAAATGCTACCAGGCCGAACCAAATGGCAGAACACAGGTGCCAAAAATCGGCTGAAGCATACAACCAAACCATTCTAAATAGCGCCCAGTTCGTGAACCAGATCCTAGTCAATACTTTCTCCTGGAGCTAAGAAAGTCCTACTATCCTTCAGTCAAACAAAATAAATGTGGCAGTCTCGGATACCCCAGGTCGGAAAGCTACAATGGGATGCATCTGGGACAGTGAAGCTACTTCACTCAGAACGTGAGTTAGATATTTAACTAGTGTGCAAAACATGTACATACCGAACATAATCTACCAGAAAGTTTGCAAACTATTTAAGACGAATGGAGAACTAGGAGCTTCGGAATTTGCCCAAGCTATTTTCACACATAGATAAATAATTTCAAACATTATCTTTTCTCCCCTGATAATCCAGTAAATAACTTTATTAATGTCCTCAGGGACCAGAGTGTTGCTATATAGCCTTTCTTAGTAAAAAGGAAAATAATTACACTCTGGGGAAGGGTGATTTAAAAAAAAAGTGTCCCAGGCATTGAAGAACCTACCACATCATTAACCCGGGACCTAACAATGGGGCTTTAAGTGGCATACCCTAATAGGAATTTCAAAGAGTCAAGGGCGAGTCTTCAAGATGGATGAGGTTAGAATACACTGAAAGTGCTCTGTGCAGGGTGCAGTAAGTAAGATGTGTCTACCCACCACCAGGCTGCAGCCTAAAATAGCAATTTATGTCTCTGGCAGCCTAATCTAAAAATAGGCCATTACACAGCAACAGGGATAGACTTCCACATTTTCTCTTAAAAGCAAACACGCCAGGTGGCCATGTTTGTGACAGCTTTGTCCGTGCCCACCTGGAAAACCTAAGGTCAAAAATCAAGTAGGGGCCAGCGCCGCGGCTCACTAGGCTAATCCTCTGCCTTGCGGCGCCGGCACACCGGGTTCTAGTCCCGGTCGGGGTGCCGGATTCTGTCCCGGTTGCCCCTCTTCCAGGCCAGCTCTCTACTGTGGCCAGGGAGTGCAGTGGAGGATGGCCCAAGTGCTTGGGCCCTGCACCCCATGGGAGACCAGGAGAAGCACCTGGCTCCTGGCATCGGATCAGTGCGGTGCGCCGGCCGCAGCACGCCAGCCATGGCAGCCATTGGAGGGTGAACCAAGGCAAAAAGGAAGACCTTTCTCTCTGTCTCTCTCTCTCATTGTCCACTCTGCCTGTCCAATAAATAAATAAATAAATAAATAAATAAATAAAATCAAGTAGGGAGTTGTAGAGAACAGTATCTCTCGATGATTGAAGGCAGTCACTTCTGGTGGACTGTGGGGAGCAACCGGACTAGACTAAGTTACTCGAATTGGGACTTGTTCTATGCATCTGCTCTCCCACAATATGGCGCTGGGAGAGAAGTAAACAGCTTCCGCACAGCTGCCTCCAGTTCAGCCAATTAACTGTGGGACTTGCTCCTGATTGGAGAGCAGCGTACTCAGCCGAGTTGGGATTGGCGGAGGAGGACTATAAAGGAGGAGAGAGACGGCATGCACCAGGAACATCTATGGGGAACATCTAAGGGAACCCGTGCAGCCCCCGAGAAAGCCGGCCGGCGGTGTGCCGCTCCCCTGCGGAAGTGGGGAATGTGGCCAGGGGGAACTGCCCTTCCACGGAGGTGGAAGGGATAGTAGCCAACCCGGGAAGAACCAGCAGCAAACCCGGGAAGGGCCGAGCAGACGAAAGAACAGCGCAGGGTCCTGTGTCGTTCCTCCACGAAGACGGGGAGTGACATAATGGTGCCGTGACTCGGATATGAAGCCTAGGCAGGGTCCTGTGTTGCTCCTCCACGAAGAGGGGGAGCGACAGTGGACAGGCAAGGTCTGGGCAATGAGGAAAGGTAGCAGGAACCACCCTGGGAGCACCTTACTGTCTGGGGCTCAGTGGGCCACACAGCACAACAGCTCGTACAATGCAATTTTCCATTGCTCTCTGACCTGCCAGGATGTAATCGAGCCTCCTCCACAGTCCCTTGAAGAAATCATTCCTAAGACCTCAATGGAAAAGCAGATGTAAAATGCAAATAAACTCCCACACACTGACCCTAACCTCTCCCCTTAAGAGGGAATGGAAAGGTTCAAGTGTTACGGGAAACTGCGCCCATTTATAGAAAACATCTTTAAGGTGGAGTAGCCTTCACGGTCACCAAATGCCCAAGCAGAGTAACCAGCATGCATGAGAGGGCCTGAAAGGAGCTGACTTAGCTCTAAGAATAGGAAACACAGGTAGCAGAGGTATTAGTTAAGCAGAGTTGGTTCACTCATACCTCACTTTCAACACTTCCTTGCCTACTCCTTGCCCAGTACCCTTATATACCAACCCTGAAGAGGAAAAGAGCAGGTAGACACCTGGGAAACTCCTTAGCACACTTGAAATTCAGTTCAAAGCACTACACCCTCTGAAAGTGGATCTGCAACCCAAGGGACCTCAGAGGCATAGCATCAAACCCCACGCGTTGTGCTTAATTCTTAGATGTTCCTCATTCTCCAAGTGCAAGTACTGTCAACACTATCCAAGTCATATTCCTAAATCATAGACCAAATCAGTCCACCTCTCCACAGCTCCACCCTTGATTCAAGACTCCAATTATCTCAAGTCTGTAAAAGTACAAGGTCTCTTAAGTGGTCTTCCTGTTCGTCCCCACACAGACTCTTCTCTATTCAGCAGCTATAACATGCCACGCACTCTACCTTCAACTTAAAACCTGTCTTTGGCTTCCAGAAACACTTAAAACAAGCGAGAGGCCCACAGCTCCGTGTGGTCTGGCCCTCAGTACTTTTCCAGCCTCAGGATGCCACTTTCCTATCACTCTACCCCCTAGCTACACAACCTCCTTTCTGCTGCTTTTTTTTTTTTTTAAAGATTTTATTTATTTGAAAGGCAGAAGTTACAGAGAGAGAGAAGGAAAAGCAGAGAGAGAAAGATCTTCCATCCACTGGTTCACTCCCCAGATGGCTGCAACTGCCAGGGCTGGGCCAGATGGAAGCCAGCAGCCAGGAGCTTCTTCAGGGTTTCCCATGTGGGTGGCAGTAGCCCAAGTACATGGCCCATCTTCCACTGCTTTCCCAGGCACATTAGCAGGGAGCTGGATGGGAAGTGGAGCATCCAAGACTCGAACCGGCACTCAAATGGGATGCCAGTCCAGCATAGCATGTGGTGGCTTTACCGGATACGCCACAACACCAGACCCTCCTTTCTGCTTCTTAAACACATCAAGGGGGCAAGAGTTTGGCCCAGTGGTTAAGGCTGTCTAGTATGGTCTGAGTTCCAGCTCTGCTTCTGATTCTAGCTTCCTGTTAATGTGCACCCTGGGAGGCAGCAGGTGACGGTTCAGTAATTGGGTCCCTACCACCCATGAGGAAACCTAGATTGAGCTCTGGGTTCCTGGCTTTGGTTGTTGCAGGTATATGGAGAGTGAACCAGTAGATGGAACATCTCTCTCTCTCTCTCTCTTTCTCCTTCTTCCTCTTTCCCCCTCCCCTTCTCCCTCTCCCTTGCAAATGAATTTTTGAAAATTAAAAAAAAAGACCCACACACACATCAAGGTCTTGTCTGCCTCAGGACATCTGCTGTTTATTTCTGCCTAGAACATTCTTCTCTGGAACGCTCAGCTCTCTTCTCGTGCTTCAATTAGCATCTCGGATTTTCCAGGCCATCCTATCTCAAGAAACACTTTAGTCCTTCCCATACAATTAGAGCCATTATTATAATTTGTAAAAAATTTTATCTTTAAAAAACTTGTTTCTTTTTTTTTTTTTTTTTTTTTTTTTGACAGGCAGAGTAGACAGTGAGAGAGACAGAGAGAAAGGTCTTCCTTTTTGCCGTTGGTTCACCCTCCAATGGCCGCCACGGCCGGCACGCTGCGGCTAGCACACCGCACTGATCCGAAGGCAGGAGCCAGGTGCTTCTCCTGGTCTCCCATGGGGTGCAGGGCCCAAGGACTTGGGCCATCCTCCACTGCCTTCCCGGGCCACAGCAAAGAGCTGGCCTGGAAGAGGGGCAACCGGGAAAGAATCTGGCGCCCTGACCAGGACTAGAACCCGGTATGCTGGCGCCGCTAGGTGGAGGATTAGCCTATTGAGCCACGGCACCGGCCAAAAAAACCTGTTTAATTTCATCTTTTCCTACTCTAATGCAAATTCCACTAATCTGTCATCCAGCATTCCATTTCTAATCCCAAGTACAACATCTAGTTTATTGCTGAAGCTTAATAAATAATTGCTCATTGAATGAATAGACATATTCTAGCTACTGTTGAATATTTTGTTTCAATGGAGCAATATCCTATAGCCTGTTAGTTTTACTGGGAATCCAGGAGGTTTTCTTTATATAAAAGAAACAGGCAGTCTTATGGCCAAATAAACTCTGCACCTGATGAAAACCCCAAAGCCAAAACAGTGGGTACTCGATCCCTCCAGTACCACTGGATGTTGCTGTGTATAGAACCCTACCAGTAGCTCCTCTTTAGAACTGAGCATGGTATTGTTCAGAACAGTGTCTAGTGGTATCCTTAACTACTAAATAAAGGGAGAAGGCATATATAAGGAAACTACCCCATGTCTATGACTGAATACTGTAAAAACATGCACAACTACACATCCCTGAAGACTTCCGAATGCTTGAGAGTAAGATGTTTTTCCACATACTCAGTTCTGAAGCTAACCAGTGGTCATGAGGCTGAGGCTGAGAAACAGAGCATCTCTTCCTTGTGTTTTCAGTTGCAAGGCGACACAATGAGTGCGCACCACCAAGAAGAAAGGGTGGAAATGTTCAGTGGGTCCTCAGCGTCTGTGCTGCACACATGGATACAGGGACGCGGGCAGGACTCGGCAGAGGTGATCTGGTAGCACGGGTGGTGCAGAGAGGCAGGCGGTGGAGATCTCGAGTCTACCCCTTCCAGGTTGTGTGACTATGTGCAAGGTCCTTTTCTCTACACCTATCTTCTTGAACAAGGAGAAAATATATACCTTTGTGTATCTGTTTATGTTTAGGTGTCCTGGAGACTCAAGTTTGAAAGGGATAAAGCAACCAAGATAAAATTCGCTCTCTCTGTGCCAGTGGAATTTCTCGCATCCCAAAGTTTCTGAGAAGCCACCACTACATAAAGATCTCCACTTAGGATGGCGGGCTGTTTCCTGAGAGCCCTTCTCGGCAGAAATGGCAGCGCTCTGGAAGTGGATCCAAAGCCACAGTAACCGCCAAGTTTCCATTATGAACAAAGCAGCAAGACCTTCAGGTTTCCTTGTCATTTAGGCAAAGCAATAAGGTAAGACCTAATGAAATGTTCTTACTGCAGTAAATTCTCCTCAGTGAAATCCCGATCAATCTGTCAGGGAAGAAGCACATCTGTTCAAAGACAGTGTGCCCTGCCCGCACTGGACTTCCTGTGTGATTTGCCGACCTGTGGCTATGGTGAATGCTCAGAAAGACATACAGTGAGCACAGCTTTAAAAGGTACAGAATAGTATTCTCAGAATTTTAACGTGGGAACCTCAAAAATCAGGACTTCTTGTTACATTACTTTTTACTTTGCAGACTTTATTTCCAACTTGCAATTGATGCTTAGAAATATCTTTCCAACCCAGCCTGTAACAGAGAAATGGAAAATCATGGCATCACTCAAATTTTCAAGCAAAATCAGGGCAGAATTAGGTGTCGCCAAGAAAGAAACTGTTACATATCCACAGAGTACAATGCTGTGTGGTCCCTGAGAAATTGGTCTAAGCCACACCAAAAGGAAAGGCCTCTGTTTTTTAAAATGTGTAAAACAAAGTCCAAAAATTACATTACAATGGTGGTAACAAGAATGAGAGAGACTAGTATCTGGTAAAAAGAAAAAAGAATGTAGTTCAATCAGCTAAAATGGTAGTATCCTAAAGTGTTTTTTTTTTTTTTCATTTTTTAACACTTTCAGCATTTGTGTAAAAAATAAAACAGGCTTTTTTTCTTTTTAGAGAAGAATTCAAAGAGACTGAAGTCTTATTCAAATAGGGAAGGGGTTATTTCACAGACTATAGACACTGTTCTCAGAAAACAGGAAGCCCACAGATGTGCAGAGAAGTAAAACCAAATCAAACAAACCACAGGCGCAAGGCTCCCTGGCTGCTGCCTGAACAATGCCTGCACACATGTGATGTTCCCTCTGTAAGCCCATCCAGTCGTCATTCCTGAAATTTAGGTACTAAAGCCAGAACATCTTGGTTCCTTTTTGCCCTAAAAGCACTGATCCGAAGTTCTCGCGGGGTTAGGGGACAGTGCCAAGCCTTCAACACCGAGTGATGAGCAATATTCAGAAGTCAATCCAAGTCTTCAAGCTGATGTCACAGCCCACCACAAATCTTCCTGTACATTTTTGGGCTCCTACACCCTTTGGGACTGGGGGAGGCATTAATGAGATGAGCATAATGGGTGAGTGGGCAGCAAAGAGACAGAAAAAAAAAGTGCACTTTAAAACTCTGAAATAAAAGGGAGTGCCTAAATATTCAACGATAATCTCCTTAAAAGATTTTATGCAATCCCCCCTCCCCCAAATTCCTCCAGGCACTGCCTGGTACTAAGCTGGCCTGCTAGGGTTTGAAGGTTTGGCAATCCGAGGGCTGCCCGACCCAGACAAAGGGATGGAGAGTTACCACAAACACAGGAGAGGTGAACTTTCACCCACTAAATGACAAAAGCCAGCGCTTCCCCCGGGAACCACGGGCCGGCAGCCGGGGTCCAGTGCTAGGAGGCAGAGGCCCGGGGTGGGTACGGCCACGGTGCCCCCAGCCTGGCGTTCCCACCAGCTCTCTCTCCAGTGAACCAGCGCCGACCAGTCTTCCGGTGGCGCCTCCTGGGTTCCTCCCCCTGGTTTCCTAACAAGGGCGCCTCCACAGCAGGTCTCACCGCGCGAATGCTAACTTGCCCCCGCGCACAGCCCAAAATAGCACGGCCCCGGGGACCCTTTTAAGCCACAGAACCCACAACAAGGGCCCTGCACTGTCCGGCCAGTCTAAGCCGGCAGCAGCTCGTGCCTCAGTTTGCCTGTTTAGGGCCATTCACAGACAAAGCACCGAAGGAGCCCAGAACCCATCTCTCTGCAGGGCGCAGCAGCTACCCCGGGTTCCGCGCGCCCGGGGAGACCCCACCCCGCGGGGAAAGGGATGGAGGCCGAAGCCAGGGTGGAAGGAGGCTCCTGAGGCTGCAGCTTCGGTCCTCAAAGGGCCTTGCCTGGAGGAGTGCGGGGGTGACGCCGGGTGAGCAGGGGGATCCCCCAGGAAGGAGGGCGAGCTCAGGCACCCGGCGTCCCGGGTCTGGGAATCCGAGGCACGCACATTGCGAGGGGGGGTCCCAGGTCAGGCATGAGCTCCAGCCGTCCAAGGAAGGGGATCGCCCAGGGACAGCAACGCGGGGGAATCCCCCAGGAGCTGGTCCCCGGCCAAGGCGCGGGGCCAACGCGGGGGATGGAGCCAGGTGAGGCGCCGGGACCCACGCGCGAAGTGGTGGGACCTGGGGACCGGCTCCCGGCACGAAGGGCGGGGCGGAGTGCCATCCTTCTCACCGCTGGAATCGATTCTTGAACCGCATTGATCCTCCGCTCCTCCTCGGGGACCGGGAGCTCCGTCTCGTCAGCAGCCGCGGCGGGGCGCGCGGCCCTCATGGGCTTCGGCTACTCCGGAGGCCGCCTGGGTGCCAGGCAGAGCCCTCGTCCGGGCAGGGCCAGAGTGGGGCCAGGCCGGGGGTCGAGACGCTGCCGGGGCCAGACCGGGCGGCTTGGGGGCGGGAGGGAGGCCGCTTAAACGGCCCCGAAGCCTCCCGCCTCCCGCCTCCCCGGCTCCTCCGCCCCCGGGCGCCCGCGCCCCGCCCCGCAGGCCGGCTCCACCCCCGCTTGCGCTTCGCTTGCCTGCGTGCACCAGCGGCCGCCAGCGCGTCACCGCGCCGGGCTGCCAATCAGCGCCCGAAGCGGCGCGGGAGCTACGCTGCCATTCATTCCTGCAGCGCCCCGGAGGAGGGGCGGGGCCTCTGGGCAGCGGGGGCGGAGCTAGGGGAAGGGGTGGAACGCCGGAAAGGGGGGGCCACATTTTTAATGTAAAGAGTCGAGTTGGAGAGATGGGAAAGGTGGTCCAGGATTCTCAAAAGTGGTCTTGAAGCCAATAGCAGCATACAAGGAACCGCCTACGTTCTAGCTTTGACTCTGCATTTCTTCCAGCATCATTTTGAGGGCTGCTTCTCGCTAGCCTATTGGGACGAGGCTCCAGGACGTATTTTAAAACCTTTTCTTATCTTTCATGGGAGGGAGTTGAAGTTTCTGGAGCACTGTCTGGCTCAGATTCTAGGAGAACCACCAAGGGAGGAACTCTCTGCCGGGATCCTTTTGCGTTATCTTGCAATTTACTTTTTGGGTTTTGTTTTGTTTTGTTTTGTTTTGTTTTTTTCCCAAGCATCTTCCGAATAAAACCAACACAAAGTGGACTTCAATCGGGGTCCTGTCTCCGAACCTCCTAAGCAGAGAACTCACTGGGGGAGAGGTAGAAAGGAAGATGGATGAATGTATGAGTGGTTTAATAAGCCTTGCTGTCATCACCTCTTTAATTTAGATGTACTCCCCTCCCGGTCCACACCCCTCAGACTTGTGACTCTCAAGGCCAGCCTGTTAGGAGTGTTTACTTTGCCGTCAATGGAGCATTGGAAAGCTGGGGGATTCTTCCACTCAGATTTCTAGTTTCCGTTCCTTTAACACAGTGCCAGGATCTAGAACGGTGCTTTCCGAAGCTATTGCATTAATCCTTCCAAGAACTCCTTGAGATAAGCATTATCCTACTCATTTCACAGATGAATGGGCCTTAAAGGTTAAGAAGCTTGCCAAAAGCAAAATTAGGATTCATACCTAGCTTCTCCTCACATTAAAACCCCAGAGCCTTTGAGAACGCCAGACTGCCTCTTGTTCTAAAGTGGTATGTGTCTCTTTAAACACGTACACACATGTGTGCGAGCTTCTTGTTTTCCCCCACATTATGTCAGAAAAATGAACATAATGGAAAGTCTGTTACTACTCAGCTTTTGTCAGGCTCCTGGGCTAAAATGATCTGTGAGGCAGGGGAAGGTAACAGAGGAAATAACTAATATAGTTGAAATTAACCACCGTAAGATGAAGGTTTCACAAATGACAACTCTCAGTTACAGCACATATTCCACTCTGTGGGGGCATGTTGATAAGATGGGAGGCTGTGCCTACAGGAGATAGGGATTGTATAGGCCATCTCTGTTTTCCTCCCAATTTTGCAGTGATCCTAAAATTGCCCTTTTAAAAAGGCTTGAAAAAAGAAAAGGGGAGTGGGTGCTTAGCTTCAGATAGGACGTCTGAGTTTGACTTTGGAGTGCCTGGGTTCTGTTCCCAACCCAGGGTCCTGTTTCCAGCTTCCTGCTAATGCTCACCCCGGGAGGCATCAGATGGCTCAAGTAACTGGGTATCTACCTCCCATATGGGGGACTTGGATTCAGGTTCAGCTCCAGGATTCAGTCCCAGCCCAGCCCTGGTTGGCTGTTGTAAGCATTTGGGGAGTGAACCAGTAGTTGGGAGTTTCTCTCTCTGTCTCTCTCTCTCTCTTACAAATAAATGTTTTCAATAGAGAAAGAAGTGCAATACCAATACATGCCATATGTGAGTGAAACTTGAAAACACTACTAAATGAAAGGAGTCAGTCACAAAGAACCACGTATTGTATGATTCTGTTTATGAAGAACATCCAGAACGGGAATCTATAGACATAATAGGCTTGTGTTTGGCTAGGGCTTAGGTATGGAAATACTTCTGGGGGGCGATGGAAGATTTCTTTTTGAAATTAGTGAAACAGTTCTCAAATTGTGATGATGCACGCACCACTCTGTGACTATACTACATATCATCAAGTTACAGGCTGAAAAGAGGTGGCCTGTGTGGTATATTAATTAGATCTTAATAAAGCTGCTAAATCATTAAAATCATGTTTCTGTAAAAAAGATCAAAATTGAAAACCTAGGCTAAAAATATCTGAAGTACAGAGACTGTCTTGCTCATATCTTTAATTCTTGAAAACCTTAAATACCAGCTCATACAGAGTAGGCATTCAATAAATATTTGCGTGAATTTAATTACAAAACAACAGGAGCTACCCCGGGAACCCCCATCACATGAATGTGATGCCAGATTCCATCTTGTCAATGACTTAGGGATGTTCAGGGGCAAGGAGTGATTAGAGCGTGGTAAGGAAAAATCAGGCAAAGAGAATGGCTTGAACAAAGATCAGTGTTTGGCATGGGGAAAAAAAATCCAAGACACTGCCTAGGCTTAGAAACACCACAATGAGTGATATTTGTCCAAGGCGGAAAAATGACTGAGTTTAAAAATCGGAGTAAATGGAGCAGAATAAAACACCTTGACCCACAGCAACCTCTTGCACAGAAATAGTAGAATGCTAATGGAAAGTGGACTGTTTAAAGGACAGTCACAGATTTAATTTAGCCTCACTGTTGGTACACCCTCCCTGCACCCACTGAAAACAAACCTCAAAAGATAACAATAAAACACAGTGGGGCCTGCATTGTGGTGTAGCTGGTTAGGCTGCCACCTGTGATACCCACGTTCCTTATGGGCATTGCTTCCTGTCCCAGCTGCTCCACTTTGGACTCACTTCCCTGCTAGTGTGCCTAGGAAAGCAACAGAAGATGGCCCAAGGACTTGAACCCTTCCCACCCATGTGGGAGACCTGGATGAAACTCTTGGTTCCTGGCTTCCGCCTGGCCCAACCCTAACCATTGCAGCCGTTTGAGAAACGAACCAGCAGGTGGAAGCGCTCACTCTGTCTCTCCCTTTCTAACTTTGCCTCTGAAATAAAAATGAAATACAAGAAACAGCTTCGAACCAATCATGTAAACACCTGCCACACTGTTTGTAGTGAAGTCTCTATCTTAATCTGTCTCTGAGGAGAAATTACAAATATGTTTGCAGGAAAGTGGAACTAGATTGAACTCGGAGATAAGTGTTACGGGAGTGAAAGAAAATGAAAAGTCTTTGCATTAGCAGGATGTGACAATTTGGTTGTGCCCAGACATACAGTTCTCCTGTCTGTAAAACTGCAGACACATTTGCATGAATGGTGCGTGTACCTGTGAGAAGGCATTCGTGATACAGCAGACATCGGGTGTATAGAAAGAATCTTGGGGAGATCGCCTGCTCTGCTCACTGAGAGGCATGGAGTTCCTGGACAAAATGCTGACCATAGCACCAAGCATCTGGAACCTGACCCTCTGACTGATCAGCCAATCAGAAAGAAGCAGATCGGTTCCCAGTTTTGATCACAGAAGTCCTGGGAAGGCTGCCGAAACTTCTGCTGTCAGACTGTGTGACTGGCTTTGAATCTGTCCCTCTATAAACACGACAAATAAAGGGATGATTCAACTGAGATGCTTCCAGCTTTTCCCCTTTCTTGAAAAAAAGGAAAGTTGTCTCTTCCTAGCTGGTCTTCTGCTCAACATTCTCTGGCCTTTAAGGAGTACTTATCTTCACCATGCCCAGTTCCTAGATTCTCCTGGTGAAATTGATTAAGAAAAAAAATGAGAACAAAAAGAGAGCTTGGGGCAGGCACCGTGGCATAGTGGGTAAAGCCGCCGCCTGCAATGCCAGCACCAATTCGAGTCCCAGCTGCTCCTCTTCCGATCTACCTCTCTGCTATGGCCTGGGAGAGCAGTGGAAGATGGTCCAAGGGCTTGGGCCTCTGCACTTGTGTGGGAGACCTGGAAGAAGCTCCTGGTTCCTGGCTTCGGATTGGCACAGCTCCAGCCATTGCAGCCAACCAGGGAGTGAACCAGCGGATGAAGACCTCTCTCTCTCTCTCTCTCTCTCTCTCTCTGCCTCTCATTCTCTCTATGTAACTCTTTCAAATAAATAAATAAATATTAAAAAGAGAGAGAGAGAAAAAGCTGGAGAAAAAGGGAAGGACTTAGATTATAGGTTATATTGACCTCCAGGACTGAGAGCAGTGAGGGAAGAAACCTTCTCCAGCCTAGGGGATGCTGGTAGAGGCGTTTTGAGAGGAGTAAAAGGATTCCTATAAATGTGAGATATGAGAAGAATAGGAAAGGAGCTGTGAGAAGTTCTTCTAGGAGTATGAGTTGGATATTATAATATTTTCCAAAAAGTAAAACTAAAGAGTTTATTTTAAGCATGATTCTATGCTGTTTGGTTGTATTGATTTGACAGTGACTTCTTTCAGACCACATGGAAGGGGGGAATCCAATGGCTGAACAATTAATTTTCAGGATACTTGACTTGGTCCTGCAACTTTGGCATCTCTTCTCTCACTTTATTGTTAAACCCATCCTGTGAGATAAATAACATTGTACCTATTTTACAGATGAAGAAATGAAAGCCTAGAAAGGTTTTGTAAGTTACTTAAATAGTACGTGTAAGTGGAAAAGTCAAGATTTGGGACCAGGTTTCTCTGCCCTAAGCCGGGGGCTGCTTCTCTCAGGGCCTCATCCCAGTCCATGAGCACATGTCATCCTTCACTGCATGAAGCGGTGTTTCTATGCTCAGTGGATGATCAATAAATGGCGTTCTGTGGGCTGCTGTGGCTGTCACGCTCCCCCAGAGCAGCATTATTTGAATGTAGGACACTCTGACTGTGACGTCATTGCTAAACGCAGAGGGCTAAGATTACTACAGCTCTTTTTGGCAAATAGGCTTGGAAGGTGATGAGAATAAGGAAGGGAATGACAGTAAAAGCAAAGAGCAACATAAAACACAAAAATAGTTGATGGCAGTGGTTCTCATATGTGGATCAGACACCACTGGGTCCCACCGGGAACGTTCTTATTGGTCTACAAGAAACTCACGTCTGTG